CCTATGCACGCAGTGAGACTTCGTCGACAGAAGCCTGGCGCCAGCGCCAGGCCCCCAACGGAGGGGGCGGTGGTGGTGGTGGTGGCAATCTGCGCCGGTATGCGACTAGAAAGGTCAAGCTGGTGCAGGGCTCAGTCTTGAGTGTGGACTATCCCGTTCCTAGCGCTATCCAGAACGCCATCCAAGCCAAGTACAGAAACGACCTCGAGGGTGGTAGCGAGGAATTCACGCATATGCGATGTGAGTGCAACTCAGCCCTTACTACTGCGCTATTCGGTAGCTAAACAGACATTCGGGATTTGTAGATACCGCGGCGACTTGTGATCCCAACGAGTTCACCCTCCACAACGGTTACAATCTTCGTCCCGCCATGTACAACAGACACACCGAATTGCTCATCGCCATCACCTATTACAACGAAGACAAGACCCTCACAGCCCGTACTTTGCACGGTGTTATGCAGAACATCCGGGATATTGTGAACCTGAAGAAATCGGAGTTCTGGAACAAGGGAGGCCCTGCCTGGCAGAAGATCGTGGTTGCATTGGTCTTCGACGGTATCGACCCTTGCGACAAGGATGTCTTGGATGTGCTGGCCACGGTCGGTGTCTACCAAGATGGTGTCATGAAGCGTGACGTTGATGGCAAGGAGACGGTGGCTCACATCGTACGTGCATTATGAGAAGAGAATCGCAGGCAGCGCTAATAGTCCATAGTTCGAGTATACGACGCAGCTTTCCGTCACTCCCAACCAGCAGCTGATTCGGCCTACCGATGATGGTCCCAGCACTCTCCCTCCTGTGCAAATGATGTTCTGCTTGAAGCAGAAGAACAGCAAGAAAATCAACTCGCATCGTTGGCTCTTCAACGCTTTCGGCCGCATCCTCAACCCGGAGATCTGCATTCTGCTCGATGCCGGTACCAAGCCAGGTCCCAAGTCCCTTCTCGCCTTGTGGGAGGCTTTCTATAACGACAAGGATTTGGGAGGCGCTTGCGGTGAAATCCACGCCATGTTGGGTAAGGGCTGGAAGAACCTCATCAACCCGCTGGTCGCAGCCCAGAACTTCGAGTATAAGATCAGTAATATTCTGGATAAGCCTCTGGAAAGTTCCTTCGGCTATGTCTCTGTGTTGCCCGGTGCTTTCTCGGCTTACAGATTCCGCGCAATCATGGGTCGTCCCCTTGAGCAATATTTCCACGGTGATCACACCCTTTCCAAGCAGCTGGGTAAGAAGGGTATCGAGGGTATGAACATTTTTAAAAAGAACATGTTCTTGGCCGAAGATCGTATCCTGTGTTTCGAGTTGGTCGCCAAGGCAGGCTCTAAATGGCACCTGTCCTATGTCAAGGCCTCGAAAGCCGAAACCGATGTGCCTGAAGGTGCTCCGGAGTTCATTTCTCAGCGTCGTCGTTGGTTGAACGGTTCTTTCGCCGCCGGTATTTACTCTTTGATGCACTTCGGACGCATGTACAAGAGTGGACACAACATCATTCGCATGTTTTTCCTTCACATTCAGATGCTTTATAACGTGTTCTCGACGATCTTGACCTGGTTCTCTTTGGGTAAGTGGATTCCTCCATTATTCTTACCCTCCTATTCTGACTTTGTGCCTCTTAGCCTCGTACTGGCTTACAACGTCCGTCATCATGGACCTTGTCGGGACCCCCAGTCAAAGCAACGGCAACACCGGTTTCCCCTTCGGTACTACGGCGACACCCATCATCAACACTCTTGTCAAATACGCATATCTCGGTTTCTTGCTGTTGCAGTTCATTCTCGCCCTTGGTAACCGACCGAAGGGTTCCAAGTTCTCCTACCTTGCGTCGTTCGTGGTGTTCGGTATCATCCAGCTATACGTTGTTGTTGACGCCCTCTACCTGGTCGTCCGCGCTTTCAGCGGAAGTGCTCCGATGGATTTCGATACGTCTCACGGCGTGGGAGCTTTTCTTGGGTCGTTCTTTGGTTCCACGGGTGCCGGTATTATCATCATCGCCCTTGCTGCCACTTTCGGTCTGTACTTTGTGGCTTCGTTCATGTATATGGACCCCTGGCACATGTTCACCTCGTTCCCTGCCTATATGGCCGTGCAGTCGTCGTACATCAACATCCTCAACGTCTACGCGTTCAGCAATTGGCACGATGTGTCCTGGGGTACCAAGGGTTCGGACAAGGCTGATGCACTCCCTTCTGCCAAAACGACCAAGGAGAACGATGGCAAGGAGGCCGTGATTGAAGAAATCGACAAGCCGCAGGCCGATATTGACAGTCAGTTCGAGGCTACTGTGAAACGGGCATTGACGCCTTATGTGCCGCCGGTTGAGAAGGAGGAGAAGAGCTTGGATGACTCATACAAGAGCTTCCGTACCCGCCTGGTGACATTTTGGATCTTTAGTAATGCGCTGCTTGCGGTCTGTATCACTAGCGACGGCGTGGATAAGTTTGGCTTCACGGTATGTAATCTGTGTCTGTTGCGTCTGGGAGATGAACTTGCCACTGACATTATTGTTGCAGAACTCTGCTACCACACGGACATCGCGTTTCTTCCAGGCTCTGTTGTGGTCGAACGCCGTTGTGGCCCTCTTCCGTTTCATCGGAGCCTGCTGGTTCTTGGGTAAGACGGGAGTGATGTGCTGCTTTGCCCGGCGGTAGAGGAAAGAGTATTAATGAAAAAGCTGGCAAGGAGAGGTGGCTTGCGGCACGCATGGCAGGCAGGAACCTCACGGAGTTATTCTTGGCACATTTTTGTTGCAATTTTGTATTCTACATATGATGCTTGTTTCTCGTTGTGTGAGAATGAGTGAGTGTTGCGTGGGTTCGTTTTTCTTTCGCTTTTTTTTTCTCTTTTGATTGGATTGCACATTTCGAACGACTGCAGGCATGGCGATGTTTGTAGACAATACCTAGCGTTTAGAATCAAACGATTAATGTACCGTATTACTTGTTGGAGCATCAGCATGAGATGATGTCTACGTGGATTTGGCCTAGTGCAGGCGGTGATTGAAGGCGGCAGGAGAGGGCAGAAGGGATAGTAGCGCCAAAATGAAGGAGATGGCGTCAGGCCGCCGCTCTCCTCCGCTCTCCGCCTCCGCCTCTGCTTCTGCCTCTGCCTGGGAAAGTTTGGAAGGGATTTTATTGTTATAGGCGTTGTCTGGGTGAGTTCGCTCTTTGCATTCAGGACAGGGTCTGGTGTCTTGTAGAGGACGCTTTCTTTTCTGTCTGATTGTGGCAAATTCTTTCATCGCTTACCTGAGGAGGACCCCGCAGCTTTCCCCTCTGCATCTTCGGACTCGACCTACCGACCTACACCACGACACCAGAGTTGAAGCTTACCTCGCTCTGATACTCCCGCCCTTGCGCATCCATCTCACCTGGATCAGCTCACTTTAAAGTCTGAGTGGTTGTCGAGAACTTAGGACGTCAAGATGTTGAAAATATGGTCGATGGTATGGCCCCCGTCTTCTCTTCTTTACACCCCGGATGATACCACCTCATACTAATCCTGATTGACTCGGTGCAGAAGCAACAACAGCAACAAGCTGAAAATGCCGAAGGAGCTGCCGGCAAGAAGAAGAAGAAGGTCACCGCTGCTCAGTTGCGAGTTCAGAGAGGTAAAGCCCTCCTCCCCTCCTTGTCCCCTTCCCCAGTCCTCTTACCAACCCTCCCATCCCATTTCTGGCACCACGACCACTAATCCAGAATCCGAACCACAAAATCTAGACCTGCAAGAACTCACTCTCGGCTCCACCATGAAGATGACCTTCCCGAACCCCGATGACATCCTCAACTTCGTTCTCGTGATCTCCCCCGATGAAGGCATGTACAAGGGCGGCCACTTCCATTTCAGCTTCAGCGTGAACCAGAACTTCCCGCACGACCCGCCCAAGGTGAAATGTACGCAGAAGATCTACCACCCGAATATCGACCTGGAGGGCAATGTGTGCTTGAACATTCTGCGGGAGGATTGGAAGCCGGTCCTGAACCTGAATGCGGTGATTGTCGGGCTGCAGTTTTTGTTCCTCGAGCCGAATGCCTCGGATCCACTCAACAAGGATGCGGCGGAGGATTTGAGGGGCAACCGGGAGGGGTTCAAGAGGAATGTCAGGGGGGCGATGCAGGGAGGTATGGTCCGGGGAGTGAAGTTCGATGATGTCCTCCGTTAGGAGAGTTCCCTTTTGGGGGGGAAGGGGAGCATGCATGGGGATTGAGGTTGTGGGTGATTGGTGTGCTGGAGTGGTTCTATCTGGCTGTGAGGGTCGAGGGTGACGCGAAGGGTAAGAAGGTGTGATCATTGCATTTGTTCATTTGAATTATTTATTAGCGACTGGATAGATTCCCTGCTCCTGTTTCTGCTTTTACTTCCGCTGCTTTTGATACTGTTACTGCTATGAAAGAGATGATCTAAGCTGTGTCTTTTTGTTCTCCGAGTTGGTTGATATTTGGAACAAGGTGAAGTCAATCCTCGCCTGGTCTCGAAAAGGCTCAGAGATGATTGTGCAACTCTCAGACCAGCAGCCTATGGATTTGGCTACTCAAGTTCGGTATACTCGTCTCATCATAAAACTAGCAAGACGGACGCATTGCGAGGCATGGCTTATCACTTACCGGGGGCTTACATTCAACGCCCCTTCGACTTGCAATCGACAAACTGGTAATAGATAAACCCAGGGCAGTAAGTACGAAATTGCTCTGGCTTTCTCAGAATTTGTGAGTAGAGAGGAACCAAAACCAGCTGCACACGCAAACCACTCCCTTGCCTCCGGACGTCTAAATCTAGTCAACCACAAAACACCACAGAGAATGTCTCATGCTGACACAACCGGACAGTGACCCGTACAGTGGAAGATACTGGTACAGGTACAGACACAGAACGGAGCCAGATCGGCTCGAATCGAGATTGGACTAAATAGACAAGAGAGATAAATGCTTGATTGAGACTAATTCAACACGGTACCACACGGCTCGACTGTGCCAGTACCCGGAACACGAATCACAAGTCGATCTAGGCCTGCTGGGCGGCGCGCTCGGCCTCCAGGCGGGTGTAGTAGTTGTCACGGGCGCGGACGCGGGGAAGGTGGTAGCCTGGTTTTGGGTTGTTAGCTTTGACAGCTTGCGGATGGGCATGGCACTGCATTGGGGTGAGTTCAGAGGAAGCGATTGTACGTACCGTACCACCAGAGGTAGCCGAAGGTGGTGCCGAAGCCTGCATTCGAAAGATTGGTGGTCAGTTTTGGGTTTCCTAGGGGTTGTTGAATTGGCTTGGGTTTGCGCGGATCAGGATGGACGGGGCCGGGGACTGGCGCGGTGGGATGAAGGCAATGGTGAGACCCTCAAGCGCAGGCCGTGTGGGCATTTCAGGATGGGGTGTGTGGGCAATGGGCTGGATCATGAGGTTGCTGCGCGAAATTCGAACGTGCGATTGACTGGCTGACTCGCGGCAGGCAGGCAGGCAGGCGTAATGAGGACTCACCGAAGGCGGTGCTCAGGTCGAGGACCAGAGTGCGGCGGAGCATCTGTTCATTTAAAAGCTGTTAGTTCTGGAGATCTTGCGGAAAGCGTGATGCAGAGGCTGTGCCATTGGCATGGCATGGCATGGCATCATGGCATGGGGGGTGGGATGATCGGGTTCTGATGGTTGGCTGGTTGGAATTGAGATTGGGAGCAAGGGAAACACATACGCCGGTGATAGGACGGATGGTGGCAGCCATTGTGATCAATTGGATGCAATTGTACCCGGAGATCTGGAGGAGGTGGTGGTGGTGGTGGGGAAGTGGAGGAGAAGAATGTAGCAGCGGTGATGTCGAAGTGAAAGTCGGAAGTTGGAGGTGAAGCTTTCCCGGGCCGGGGTGTAGTAAGCGACCGCTGTGAGTGGCCTGACGGTTGGGTTGATCTAGAGAAATCCTCAGTACTACCACATGATTAAGATACAAGTGAAAAGTACTACATTGTGTGGATATTTGATGAATATTTGATGCCAGAATTCAAAGCTTGTTCTACTTGGCTGACATACTGGCAGTATGCACAAAACGAACGCTCAATCACAGCTGGGTGAGGGTGGTCTAAGGTGACAGTGATTGTTTCTGCCTCAGGTGTCACGTTCTGTGCAGATGCCGTACACGTGATCGCCAGTTGCGGCGGGCGTGATTCCCGCCCGGCTTCTCTGCTTCCTCAGCTCTCTCCATCATGACCATCCCAACGGCGCCATGGTCGAGTCAGAATCAACCATCAAGCGCTCCGCCTCTTCCTCCTCGCCTGAAGATGGACTGAATCCTCCTGGCGCAAAGCGCGTCAAGCGTCACTACCACCACCATCACCGCCTGCAGAGCCCCGTTAACCCAGCTCTACCTGAACCCGCCATCGTCGACGATGCTTGCGTTGACCAGCTTCTAAACCGGTCCATCAGTCAATATTTACGAACTTGCGGGTTCGAACTCGCAGACCCTGCCGCGCTGGACGCCTTTCGCAGGGTGACTGAAGAATGTATGTGTGCATTGCTCCTGGTCTTGCTGGATAAAGTGCAAAACCAGAATCCGCGACACGATGTTGACACAGAGGCCCGCATTCAGATATCTTAAGCGTCGCATCCTACGTGCGACAATCCATGCTATCGAGCCGACGCACTCAGCCCATTCCTCATGATTTTGACGACGCCTTACGCCGTCACTCTGTCCCGTACACCGACCTCCTCCCACACGTCCAACCTCATCCCAACCTTGACCCCATCCCGACCCCTCAGCCCACCCCCCCGCCAGAAGAAGTCTCCTTCAAGACCCTCCCATCCTTTGGGCCACAGCTCAGTGGCGAGGACGACCGCGTCCGAAGCTCCTACATCCCGAAACACTTCCCCGCCTTCCCCAGCAAACACACCTACCGCCATACGGCAGTCTTCACAGAACGCGAGCAGGACGCTCGGAAGATTCGCGAACGCGCTACTGAGGATGGCCGACACGGAGAGGAGGCTCTGCGCAAGCTGGCGCGGGCGGCCTTCAAGGACAACCAGTTTGGGTCCTCGGCGCGCGAGAAGAAACCCTGGGGCCGGCGTGCAGAGACGATGGATAGTATGTTTGAGAAGACTGTGAAGGGGCTGGCGAAACGGATGCAGCGGACCGCCACGGTGCCGGGTGCGGCGGCGCCCATGGAAATCGATTCAGGAGCAGGGCTGGATACGGAGGTCAAGCCGGTTCGGTCCAAGCTCGCGTTAAGCATTGAGCTGCCACCTATCATCAATTGCGAGCGGGAGTTTTGGCGGCGAGTGCCGTCGTCGGGTGCGCGGAGAGCAGCAGAGGATAAGCAATCTGGCGTGAAGAAGGAGGCCCATGATAGAGCTTCCCGGGTGGACAGCTGGGTGAGCACTTGATGGGGAGGCGATGGGCGTGGTTGTATATGATGGGTGGGTGTGCAATGGCAGCATGCACGGGCGTCATGAGGGCGTTTCACCTTGTTTTCCTTCTCTTTTTTTAAACCCTTGCATGATCACAATGAAGATACCCATGGAGTAGAGTTTTAGAATCAAATTCAAGATGTCTGGCTAATCAGTGACCACCAACATAATCTTTCACCCAAGTAACGCCATAATTGCCACACTCCAACACCGTATATAATGCTAGCAAATGCAACCCAATGTTCATCGTACGTTTCATGCCTTCACGGCCTGCTCTGCAGCGGCGCCCCGTTTCCGCTCTTCTTCCTCCTTCTGAAGTCTTATCGGTTCCCATGCGGTCGTCTCCACGGTCAATCCTCCGGCGCATCTTGTGTGGTAAAGTAGCGTCAGAAATCTCAGCAGCGATGGTGAAAGAAGCAGCACTGGCCGTTTAGGGCGTCTTTCTGCAATCAATAAAAGGAAGAGAGAGACAGAAAAGCAAAAATCTTACCTTCGAAACAGGCGCACAACCGGTTGACAAACGATGACACCAGGCTTGGGGATCCCGCCCTGAGGAGGATTACACGAGTATTGTACCATCTCCAGCAGCTGGCATTTCTCCAGCTCGACGGGGCCGCCCTTGCGACGCTTCTCTTGGAAGTTCTTGGTCGAAATGTTGACGTGCTCGGGGAGGGTTTCGGCGTGAAAGACGGGGACGAGGGGTGCCATTGTCTTTGAGGTGGGTGTGGTAGGAGAACCTTGATCGAATTGGTGCGATGATGTCAGAATCCGCAGAGCTGGATGGGTGTGATATTGGATTTGCGCCTCGGTTGATTCAACGGTTGATTCGCATGGATAATAGTAGAGTATTCGGAAGCGAAATGCGGAGGAGGCGGAGAGGAGAGTTGGGAAAGTGGAAAGGTGAGGGGAGCGGAAGGCTTTCCGCCGGACGGAGCTGGTGGATTGCTGATTGCTGTCACTGATTTCACCACCTTCCCAGGTCGGAACGGACAATAGCCAGATGCTATGCTACACGATCTTGGGAACTCCTTGAGTAACTGCAGGTGCTTGGGCGTCAAATATGGCGGCTAGCTTTGGAGAAAGATTACTGACGGAAGTGCATGAGGAGAGGCTGAACGAGGTCGGTACTATTGCATCATATACATATCTTGATGCGTGGTGATGCCCAACGTCAAGCTTCGCGCTCCATCTCCACAAACTGACTGGTCGCTATAGCTCTTGCATAGTCTCAGAGAACTATACCAAGAACGTATCGGAAGGGATACCCTGAAGACTCGCTTTGGAGTCGACGAGCTCGACAAACTCGTGGGTATTTTTACTGCACCCGTTCCGTCAGGACAGTCTCGAGCAGACACTGCACAGGAAGAACTTCCGCTCGACCCAGAGCATGATCCTGACGATGAACTTGCACATGATCCACCTGGGAGAACTACCAATACTCATTCTGCCGGTATCCCGGTGCCTGCCTATACGAGCCATGCAGAACCCGTCCTGGAGATATCTAGCACGTCTTCTGCAGCAGGAAAGACTAATTTGCTATACTATATCACTGCTCTCGCTGTTCTGCCGGCCGAGATTAACGGCTTCAAGATAGGAGGTCATGATTCGGCGGTGGTCTTCATGGACACCGATGGCCGCTTCAATGCCGAGCGGCTGCGTTCCGTCCTTCGCGGCATTGTTAAGGTCAAATGCGGAGCACAGGATATGAGTCGACTTGACGAGGAAATGGAGAGGATGGCCGTGTCTTGCTTGAAACATGTCCATGTCTTCCAGCCCCAGTCTTCGTCGGCCCTTCTTGCCACACTCCAGCGGCTGGATACTTACCTCCTAGATCTCGCCCGCCATGCATCCAGCTCTCGAGCACTCCGGCTGCTGATCCTGGACAGTGCCAATGCTTTCTACTGGCAGGATAAGTTACAAGACGAGATGACTCGCGTTGAACAAATAGGGCGTCCGGCTGCAGAAATTGAGCACGATCGCCGCCAGAAACAGAGCTTCTACCTCTTCGACATGTACACGGACTTAGTGAGGGAGTTGAAGCGACTGCAGCGCGTATTTAGCTGTGCAGTTGTCTTTACCACTACTGCTGCCCCACAAACAACACCAAGCCGTCGTTCACATGGATACCAACCTTCTGGCCCATATGACCTTTATAACCCTTCTGATGCGCCTGCCTTTCGGAGGCCGTCGTTCCGATCGGCTCTTCCAGCACCGTGGGGGACTTTCCCTGTATTACGAGTGGTTGTCCAGCGTGATCCGGTTCGGCCCTTTCCTGCTGCGATGGGCTTGCAGGAGGCTGAAGAGAATGCGGCCAAGCGGCAGGAGATACTCATGCGTGGCCGATTCTCTGGATGGGTGAATATGTGGGGACGTGAAGACTGGCCGCGGAGATGGCTCGAGGGTGTTGAGGCACTAGATGGAGGAATGTTTTTCTTTCGGATGGGTAGAGATGGAGTGCAATTCGGGTAAATTCTCTAAGTGGGTATCCACGCAATGTGCAGATGAGGCTGCTCTCATACATGCACAGCACTCAGCCATACAGCTTGGCAATTGCATCAACAGTCGTGTTGCCTCCGCTGAAGACAATGCCCACATCCCAACCGTTGGGAGCTTCCTTCTCCACGAGACGTCGGAATTCCTCATTATACAGACAAACCGCCAACCCCACGACGGCACTCGGTTCAACAACAGCCTTCATACGTTCCAAAACCAACCTCATCGCGGCCTTGATCTGCTCCTCTGTCACGGCAAAAGCACCAGCCACCTTGTTCTTATCTGCAATCACCTCCCAATTCAAGAGGCCAACAGGAGTGCGCAGTCCGTCCGCAATCGTCAAGGTCGACACTGCTGGAACGCGTTCCCCGGCCGCAAGACCGCGCCGGCAGTCATCTGCACCCTCGAAGCTAGGCTCGGCACCAAACACCTTGGTTGTCTTATCAGAGAAGAAGGTTGCAACACCAGCATTGAGACCACCGCCACCGACCGGTGTGATCACAGCATCGAGCACCGGAAGTTCCTGGTGGACGCTCAGATGCGGCTTCTCTGTAACAAGCTTTTTGTACTGCTTCTCCATCTCTAGGGCCGTTGTTCCCTGCCCGCAGATAATGTTGAAATCATCGTACGGTGGTACTAGGATTGCCCCCGTCCTTGCTTGCACTTCTTCGACGACAGCCTCCCGCTCCACACTCGTCGATCCACTGAAGATGATCTCTGCGCCATGGGAGCGCGTTCCCGCGATTTTCGACGGTGTGCTGATGCTGGGCATAATGATGTAGGCGGGGACATCGAGGGTGGAGGCGGCGAGAGCAAGGGCTTGGGCATGGTTCCCTGTAAATTGCAAGCTGGTATTAGCATGATGCGTGTGGCTTGAGTTCTGAGGAGTCAGTCAGTGATGCTTGACATACCTGAGCTATGCGTGATCACCCCGCGCTTTTGTACTTCCTCTTGACCCCGCTCTTCGATAAGCCGCAGCAAGGCGTGGAACGCGCCTCGGGCCTTGAAGGCGCCAATCCGCTGAAAGTTCTCACATTTGAAGAAGAATCGAATTTTGGGGTTGGCGGGCGATTGTCCCTCGAAAGGGGTCCCGTTCAAAGCTTCCGGGGATTGTGGAGTTGAAGCGATGTTGTTGAGGGTTTGGTTGGTGAGGAGAGGCGTGCGGTGCACGTACGGCTGGATAAGGGAATAGGCATCCTGCACAGCGGACGGAGTAAGGGATTGAACTAAGACTTTGGGATCGGACATGATATTTTTCAGTGAGATTTGGCTTGAAGAACGACTCTAGTCAATCTACCCTTTAAGATAAGAGGGTTGAGGTGCCGGGTGGAATGAGCGAGTCTCCGGAGATAATGGCGCAATTAAGCGTAGACACCTGATATCCGCGGTGAATTCAATTCCCCGCCACTCCGGCACCGGAGAGACCGTACGTACCACATGCACGGAGTCCTGAGCTGCAGGACACACGGTATGAGTCATACATCTTGATAGGAAGCCCCAGCTGCGGTCGGTTATCTATTCGTAGCAAGATGGTACAGTACAGTATAGAAAGGTGCAGAAGTGTTGAAACGGTTCGACAGATCCAATCGGGGATAGTGCGGGACTCCGGCGTGAATGACACAAACACGTGATCAGTTAATACCCAAAGGGGAAATTTGGAGGGGCACTCAATTTCCCCTCGGCCTGGCTGGATTTCCGCCGACGCATTGTCCAGCTCCGTTTTCTTCTCTCTCCTTTCGCCTCCAAACTGCATAGACACTGACAGGATGGCCGAGAACGCGCCCGCGGCTGAGAACAAGCCTGCCCATGAGCAGGACATTAACCCCTGGTCCGTGGAGGGTGGACGCGACGAGAACGGCGAGGTCGTCGCTATCGACTACGAGGCCATCTGTCGGTATGTGCGGTTGCACTTCTCATCTCGGGCTAATGCTGACGGATCCTGGATGTGTACAGGAAATGGAACACCTCGATCATCGACGAAAAGCTTCTCGAGCGTTTCGAGAAGGTCACCGGACACAAGCCGCACCGCTGGCTCCGCCGCGGCTTGTTCTTCAGCCACCGTGACTTCGACCGGATCCTGACCCTTTACGAACGGGGTGAGCCTTTCTTCCTCTACACCGGCCGTGGGCCCAGCAGTGGCAGTCTGCACCTCGGTCACACCATTCCCCTCCAGTTCACCAAGTGGCTGCAGGATGTATTCGACGTCCCGCTCGTCTTCATGCTTACGGACGACGAGAAGGCGTTGTTCAAGGACAACATCTCCTTTGAGGATGCTCTGGGTTTCGCCATGGAGAACGCCAAGGATATTATTGCGCTTGGATTTGACCTGAAGAAGACCTTTATCTACAGCGACTTGAAGTACATCAGCAACCACATTTTGATGAACGCCTGGGAGTTCTCCAGTCTGGTCACTTTCAACCAAGTCCGTGGCGCGTTCGGGTTCAACGAGAGGTATGTTCTGCTGTATCTATGCTAACGACTCATCTCTTTTCTGACACCTGTCCTATTTGGTTGGTAGCACCAACGTCGGCCGCATCTTCTTCCCCGCCGTGCAGTGTGTCGCCGCCTTCGCGACCTCCTACCCCGAGATCTGGAAGGACGAGCCCCTCCAGGAACGCACGCAAGAGATCGCCAAAATCCAATGTCTGATCCCCATGGGTATCGACCAGGACCCGTACTTCCGTCTGCTCCGGGAAAACGCCCACCGCATGAAGTTCCCGTCCCCGAAGCCGGCGCTCATCCACTCCAAGTTCCTCACGGCCTTGCAAGGTGCCGGCGGCAAGATGTCTGCGTCGGAACCCAACTCGGCGATCTTCATGACCGATACTGCCAAGCAGATCAAAGTACGTACCTCAATTTCCCCAAGCATTCAAATTCCCTGCCTCCTCACTAATTCATTCTTCTTGTGTGTAACAGACCAAGATCAACAAGTACGCCTTCAGTGGCGGCCAGGTCAGCATCGAGGACCACCGCCGCTTGGGCGGCAATCCGGACGTCGACGTCTCATACATCTACCTGACCTACTTCGAGGAGGACGATGCCAAGCTGGCCGAGGTGTACGACAGCTACAAGAAGGGGGATCTGCTGACGGGCGAGCTGAAGAAAATGACCATCGAGGTGCTGCAGGAGTACGTCGCGCAGTTCCAGGAGAAGCGCAAGGAGGTCTCGGACGAGGTGCTGGCCGCGTACATGAAGCCCCGCAAGCTCGAATGGAAGGGAAACCCCAACCCCGTGCCCGCGCCCCCGGAGGAGACGCTGGCTGAGCGGCCAAAGAATGAGAAGAAGGAGAAGGAGAAGGAGAAAAAGGAGAAAAAGGAACAGGCGTGACTAGGTTGTTCACGTTCGGTGGATAAGGGTAGAGAGGATTTTCGAGGGGATGATTTAGACATATACCATTTTTGTTTGAGGTGTTTCTCGTCCGTTTTCTTGTTGGAAGCAGTAGGTACGAGGTTAGGTCGTGGTAAGCATATCCTGCTTTGTCGGTAGTGGAAGGTAAGCTACATGTAGACAGCGACAGAGATGGATGGATACAGGCGATCGAAGTTCCGTAGTTAGTTGATGCTTTACAGCGTTTGCAGTCCTTCTGACCCTTGGGTCACTTACGACGTGGATTTGAGGATCGTCTGCCTAGATATCAAGTTCTTAATCAGGTTCAGAATGTAACATGCTGAAAACAACTCCTATAGACACAAAGTTCATCAAAGAGACCGAGCTTTTTGTTCTCTTTCTTTCCCCCTAATTCATTGGGTGACATTGTTGCAGGTTTCCCGATATCGGGGCACACGGTGGTGTTGCTTCATGGTCGGTAGCTGAAGATCGGGCTCCCGGAGTCGTGGTCCGCACTCCGACTGAGCCATTCAGACGTGAAGTACGGCAGCTGCAGCCGAGCCCGGAACGCACAGTCGATTTTAAGTGGGGGGAGGGGAGGGAAGAAAGCCTCGACCTCGACCTCGACCTCGACCTTTCCCCGGATTTTGCCGGGTTGATGAGTCATACACTTTTTTCTCTGGCAATGCTTCGAGTGTGTCTTCGGATCTAAATAGTGGCTAGGGATTGAGAACGAGAAGCGGAAGAAAGTAAAAATTTATGGTAATGATATTTCCGATTATACACCAATAGGTAGGATAGGTTTGAACAAAAAGAAAACAGGAAAAAGGAAATCCTAAACAGTTCACATCATAGTACAGTCGTAAAACTTTTCCCCCCAGGGGTTTCTATCCCGATCTCAAAGAATTCAAGAAAAGATGAAGTGGCTGGTTTACTTCTGGTTCTCGGGGCGGAGGGAGCTGTAGACATTTCCAAGTTAGCATTGGTGTCGATTGACAATGATAGATTTCCGGGAACATACCGAACAGCCTTTCCGGCGCGCCAGATCTCGAGATCACGGATGTCCTGCATCTCCTTCTCGTACTTCTCGCGGTAGTCCTTCTGGGAGTTGTAGTCCAGGGAGCGCTGGGTCTCGGTACCGTCGCGGACGGCGTCGTACAGCTCGTTGAAGAGGGGCTTGAGGTTGTCCTTGAAGCGGGCGGACCAGTCGATGGCACCACGGCGGGCGGTGGTGGAGCAGGCGGCGTACATCCAGTCCATGCCGTTGGCACCGATCAGGGGGTAGAGGGACTGAGTGGCCTCCTCGACGGTCTCGTTGAAAGCCTCGGAGGGGCTGTGGCCACGCTCACGGAGGACCTCGTACTGGGCGAGGAACATACCGTGGATACCGCCCATCAGGCAGCCACGCTCACCGTACAGGTCGGAGTAGACCTCCTTCTCGAAGGTGGTCTCGTACAGGTATCCGGAGCCAACGGCGACACCCAGGGCGATGGCCTTCTCCTTGGCCTTGCCGGTGACGTCCTGGAAGACGGCGACGGAGGAGTTGATGCCGCGGCCCTCACGGAAGAGGGAGCGGACGGTGCGGCCAGAGCCCTTGGGGGCGACGAGGATGACGTCGACGTCCTCGGGGACCTCGACCTTGGTCTTCTCCTTGAAGACGGGGGAGAAACCGTGGGAGAAGTAGAGGGTCTTGCCCTTGGTGATCAGGGGCTTCAGCTGGGGCCAGGTCTCGGACTGGGCGGCATCGGAGAGCAGGTTCATGACGATGGTACCCTTCTTGACGGCGGTCTCGACGTCGAACAGGTTCTTGCCGGGAACCCAGCCGTCCTGGATGGCCTCCTTCCACGAGGCACCGTCCTTGCGGACACCGACGATGACGTTGAGGCCCTGGTCGCGCAGGTTCAGACCCTGGCCGTGACCCTGGGAGCCGTAGCCGATGAGGGCGAGGGTGTCGTTCTTGAAGTACTCCTGGAGCTTCTCGCGGGGCCAGTCCTCACGCTCGTAGACGGTCTCCTGGCTGTCGGCAAAGGTCATGGTCTTGACGCCGCGGGCGGGGGTGATCGGGGCGGCGGTCACGCGGGGAACGGCGGCGGTGGCAGCCTTGAGGGCGGGCCGGGGTAGGGCGGCGGAGAGCACGGAGCGAGGGGCACCAACGCGGGCCAGGCGGAGGGCACGGGGAAGTCCACGAGAGGCCATTGTGTGTATGTGTGTGGATGAGGAATAGGATGAAAGAAGGAAGGATGAAAGAGGCGAAGGGAGTATGGAGGAGGAGGATGAAGGGAAGAGAGGAGAGTGGAACAGAATTGATGAGATGGAGAAGAAGAAGAAGAATAGAAAGGAGGACAGCTGGAACTCTCGTCCAGTTTATAAACTCGTTGCTGGGGACGAGATCGGCCGGCGGCGATTCACGTGATCCGGAGTTGAACAATTGCTCCCCGGCCGATGTCGGATTGCACGGCTGCTGATTGGTTTCTCGGTGGATCAACCGTGGGTTGCCGCAAGCGGCTTGGGCTGGATGTGGTCAGTCTCGGCTCCCACTTCGGGGTCCGTCACATGAGTCACGCTGGGGTCCAGCCCCGATGCCACTCCGATTATCATTTTGTAGATCCAAGCATGACTCTTTCGGTTCGATCTGGGGAACCCCGAGGGTCAAGGCTCACTGGATTGGTGGTGTTATGGAAGGTTAATCTATATTCGTGACCAACTCAAACTGTCGCTCCCTGGTACCCGCCCCCCCTCCTCCTCTCCCAACACTCAAGGAGCAGTGGGCGATAGAGGTTAAGAATAGCAAGCGAGGTGCTCTGAGTCACAGGTTGATGCTCAGATGCTAGGGGTCGACCCTCAAGTGGAGAGCTCTATTCTGAGGAGCTGGGACATTCTAACTCACTCACTCTCGTGACTAAGAGATTGAGAACAGCCAGCAACCGTACCGTGGAAAGTAGACACTTATCATTCGAATTGTAACTTACAGTACACTAAGAGCTGGCACAATATGAGACAAATGACTCCAGTATACGGAGTAGAGCCCCCACCCCTCTTATTATGCTTGCTGTACTTGAAAGTCCCTGACGGGGTTTGTATAGCTACCTGTGATATAAATAACCTCGAGTCAAGTATGTCGACATGGAGGGTTTGGGAGAAGCTAAAGTGACCTCGAAGGTTGATCTTCAGTTTCCACAGAAAAGAGTGATGTATAATTAGACGCAGAGCCTCGATTCCAGCATGATTCTGTTTCAAGGCCGTTTCATGAGCTAGGTTCAGGCACCCCGGCCTAAGATGCAGCAAGCTTCTAGACCATACTCGCCATAGTCTGTCTGCAAGCAAAGCTTCTAGACCGCCGTGGAAGTCCTCTCAATCTTAGGGCTGATCAGAGCAGCCAATGTGCATGTGACCAAGTCTCGTGATGATAGTCTAATAACGGCCTTCGGATCAGATAAGCCTGGACAGTATCACCGACAGTAAATGTTTTCTTTCGCCCCATGAGAAAAGGTTGAAGAGGACGGCCACCTCCCGAAATGGTTCAGTTCACCACGAGCGCAGTGAAATTGGCAAGAGTGTAGCCCCCCGTGATACTCGACAGGGCCCCGTCAATCCTCTCGATGTTATATTTCTGGCGTCCTCTTCCTTCCGCATGCTCCTCACATCCCCATCACGAGAATCATATAAGATCGTCGCGACGAACTGATTCTTATTGTTTCAAACAGAATGGAGAGCTCTGAGCTTGAAAAGTGGTTGTTTTCTCAGTTTATGGCTGTTTTGCTGTAGCCCATGGTATGACGAGGGATTACGTTGGATTTTCCAGGACAGTGTTGACAGGAGCATGGCCCTTAACTTAACAGCTCGCGACCGCGAAGGGGCTGATGAGTTTCAATCCTTCCTAGAGACCATAAAGCCATAACCCAAAGATACAGGCAAGCCACTCGCAACCCGTATCAAGGGTCGGAGTCGGATCCCGAAACATGGCGATGACCGTGCAGAGTCTCTCGGAACAATACCCGAACGTGGGGAAATCTAGTCTATCAAGCATGGAACCCTCCTCTGACCACGACTAGAATGGATGTGCTCCTAGGCGTGTCTATTTCTTGGATCTTTCACCCATTGTCTTCATATAGCACGCGAGTAGGACCCCAATCCAAGATGAGTGACCAAATTCCCACATTAGAGGTGCCCAGATCCCAAGAATGGAGGCAGACCGCCAAGGACGTGACTGCTGGTGCAGCTGGTGGAGTTGCACAGGTCCTCATCGGTAAGACTCTTTGCCCAATGCTCCGAAGCAACGCTGACGCGTCCAGGACAACCATTCGGTAAGCCACCGCTACCCTGAACAAGACAGACATTCTCACAGCCCAGACCTTGTCAAGGTTCGTCTGCAGACTCAAGAAGGCGGGGATGCGTGGTCTGCTACTCGCCACATCTGGGCCAAGGAAGGTGCCCTCGCATTCTACAAGGTTTGTTGCTGCTCAAGGGGTAATGGAAGTTTCATGCTGAGACAGTGCCGCAAATCAGGGCACGCTTATGCCCTTGCTGGGGGTTGGCGCTTGCGTGCGTATCTTTTTTTTTTCTACCGGCTCTGTCTCAAGACCTCACAAGGGTTATAGGTCAGCATTTCGTTCGGAGCTTTGCATACCTTCCGCCAAGCGATCGAATCACGCAATCTCCAAACCCGCCCCTCGCATGATCGGACCCTCTCCCTTCCTCAGTTTTACATCGCTGGTGCTGGTGCAGGGCTGGTGACTAGTATCGTCTCGGGCCCAGTGGAGCATATCCGCATCAGACTTCAGACGCAACCGCACGGCACGGGAAGAATCTACATGGGGCCGTTTGACTGTGCACGAAAATTGATGAGGGCGGGCGGGCTGGCAGGGTTGTATCGGGGCCAACTGATGACGGTTGTTCGTGAGATGCATGGGTACGGAGTGTGGTTCGCGACGTATGAGGGGCTGGTTCGGTGGGCCATGCATCGGCACCGCAAACGGCGCGAGGAGTTACCGGGCTGGCAGATTGCGGTGTATGGGGGTTTGGCGGGGGAGGCGCTCTGGTTGTTGAGCCATCCGATCGATGTGATTAAGAGCCGAATGCAGAGTGATGGGTTGGGACCTGAGAGGAAATATCGTGGGGTGGAACATGTGGTGCGGGATACGTGGGCTGTGAGTGGATTGCGGGGGTTGTTCTATGGGATCGGGCCGGCGTTGTTGAGGGCGATGCCGGCGTCTGCTGGGACGTTTGTGGTGTGAGTATCTCTGGTGTGAGCTGGATAATGCTACTGCTAATCATCGAGTTCGGAGTAGGGCTGAGATTGTGCGAAACATGCTGAATTAGACTCGGTTCTATGGGATTGTGATGCGATGAGAACTGTCAGTCCTTCAGGGAGGCTATTGGCGGCAAGAGGTACTGCAGAAACCAACGAAATTCGTTCGTTGATGATAGTCTTGCGATCAGAGAATGCTGGGCTTTTCCCATGGTGTCTTGATAGAGGAGTTGTGAAGAGGATTTCTAGGTAAATAGTGAATGGGCTATTGTTCACGAGCAAGTATGGAGCAGAGCCGAAGCTCTGCGACGTTGGAGGTCAAGGCACAGGAACAATAATTCAGCTGGGGCCGTGGATCGTTTGGTGGAGTCACGGGCTATCCGAGGTAAATAAAGAACAACGACTACGTGAACTTCCATAGTTTCTCTTACTTCCGACCTGAACAACTCATCACTTCAAGGTAATGCGTTCTACTGATGCACGCGAATGAACAGAGATGATCGAGAATCGATCGCGGAATGGATCGAGCGCGTCGCCTCAGAGCAGCACTCCGCTCCTCCGATTGACTTAGTAGAAGAAGACCGAGCGAGGAACCTTCGAGACTCTTTGAGAACGAAAGGCTCAACAAGGTGGGGGCCTCACAAGGAGAAGATCAAGGGGATTGCCGCCCTGTCACTGAAGTTTACCATGGAGGAACGAAGCGAAGGGTTTTGGATCACGGACGTTGTCCAAGCTCTTGATTCTGCCAATTGACAACTTACCTCTGGAATCTTGGAGCGCGTATGTCACCAATGCAGCTCAACTCATCTGTTGTTTGATCTACTGATAAGGCCTAGCTAATCAGAGTATGTCGATCCTCAATATCTGCCACGCCACTTTGAAGGATGTATTAAATCGCAATAAGTAACCTCGTTTTCGGGTTCCGGAGCGAGCTTTGCATTGACGAGCATACGCGTTCAGGCATTGACATCCATGACAAAGCTCTCAGTCACATCGATCACCCACACACCGGAAAGTGGCTACTCGGGCTAGGCATGGAGGTCAAATCACCCGAGGGAAGCCGAGTCGAAGCCGAGATACAAGCAGGGTTATGAAAGGCGGGCTTGGTGTCCTGGAGCTCCACCAGTCGAAGCGGGACATCTGCACGGATGAGCAATAACCTCAAGGTACCTCCAGCGACAATTGGCTGTGTCGTTATGGGAGAGAGATGGAACCTTTATATTGCACATGGGCTTAAAGATCCCTCGTCCTAGTTAGCCGAAGTCGTACGTTGTCATTCTAGACTCCGCCTTCATGATATGCACTAGGACTGATGATAAAAGCGCGTCTGGGGCCCGTTCTATTGCATGCAACCAGCAATTAGGAGGATACGACTGCCTTGACCACTCAGCCGAGGGGAGTCCTGACTAACATCCGAGGTTCATGTATCGACCAGCTGTTACACACAATCACAGGGACGAGTTGGCGGCTATGTCACTCAGTTGACACTTGAAGATTGAATCGATGACCATGTTTACCAAGAAAAAGCCCAATGCTGGCTACCGAACGTTGAACTGGTGGAACGGCCGAAAGCAGAACAAGCTCGTCTAAATAGGACTGGCATGCAATGAATAAAGCGCCCTGCATCAAGCCAACGTTACCCGTGTTCTCTCGGTATTCATCTATGACCCCCTCAAATTAAGCATTTCGCTTCCGCAGGCGCTCTGCGATTGCTCTGGCTACATACTCGACATTCCCTGGATTTAACCCAGCGATCGACACGCGCGAATTATCCGCCATGTAAATATGATCCTCCTCTGATTTTGTTAGCGTCTAAACAATGAGAACTGGCTTGAGTAGAAATCACCCACCCCGCAACTCCTTTACGACGCCCTCCTCTAGTCCGAGAAATCCAAACATCCCGGTCTGGCGCACCAAATGCGCCCAGTCGCCGGGGGCCCCTGTAACTGTCAGCACAACCGTCATCAACCCTGCATCCTGTCGTCGTCATCCGACCTCAGCAGCCTGGTATAGGTCAGACTCACCATATTTGACCAGCCCCTCGACCAGCTGGCCCCTCATCTCCCGAATCCGTCCACTCATGGTCTGCAAGTCCTCCTTCCACATCTTCCCCAGCTCCTCATTCCCCAGAATCATGGCCGCAATCTTCGCCCCATAAGCGGGTGGATTCGATACTTCCCGTCGCTGCAACACTTCCAAAACCGACTCCGTATTCCTGGCTGCTGTTTTGGTATGTGCGGTGAGGAAGAAGCACCCCGTCCGCTCGCCTATCGTTCGATTAGCATACCGTAACCCGCCGTTTCCCTCCGCGAGTCGTAGTCCCAATCCGGCCTTCAACTCCGCAACACCACTCCACCATACAGCCCGCGAAAATGAAGGGAAATCATACCATAGAGCCCCATATTCTTCGCAAAGGACATACACACCCCAATCTCGAGCCCGAACTCCTCGCCCGCAAACAACCGAATCGCCGCGGCGTCCTCGTCAAGATCCCCCGAGTTGAACCCCAGGTATGCAGCATCGAAGAGGGGGAAGAGGTTCCGTTCTTTGGCGATCTGCGCGACCTGCCGCCATTCCGCGGGCGTCGGATCACACCCCGAGGGGTTGTGCGCGCACGCATGCAGGATCACGACGCTGTTGCGCTCCGCCGCCGCCAAGGCGGCGAGATAGGGTTCTAACGCCAGGGAGCGGGTGGTCGCGGCGTAATAGGGCAGTGAGACAACTTCAAACCCTAGGGAGGTGAAGATTTGGTGGTGGTTCGACCAGGTGGGGCTTGGGATGTAGACTTTCGGCAGAGCAGGGGTGGCGAGCCCCTGCCGGGGCTGAATGTCGTGGAGGTGTCGAAGAAGCAGCCCAGCCAGATGCAATGCCCCCGTTCCCGAGAGCGACTGACAGGCGGCTATCTGGGAAGCGAGACTGGCGTGCAGGGCTGGTCCGAGGGCGAGCTGTGGGGCCAGCGTGCGGAAGACCGGATGACCCAGGATCGGGAGGTATTCATGGTTCAGGCCGGTGGCCGTCAGGCGGTTGCGTGCGGCAGCCACGGCGGGGAGCACCCACGGTTGGCCGTGGCTGTCACGGTATGTGCCTTGGCCGAGGTTGACTTTCTGAGGGCTGGGGTCGTCCAGGTATTGGGCGGTTAATTCGAAGATACGGTCCGGGGAGATGTAGGGGGACGAGGAGAAGCGGGAGGATGGCGTGCAGGTGGTCATGATTGGGGGAATCTGATGGTGAAAGGATGGCGAGATGGTCTATTTAGCGTTTGAGCTCTGGTTTTGGGGGATTTTATTTGTGCTGTTGCTGGTGCTGAGCGGGTTCATGACCCGAGATGGGCGGATGCTCTTCCGAAGTATGCATGGAGGCGTGAGCCTTGGGAAAGGAGATCGAGGCGCTGACCATTCGATAAAACGCCCGGACGAGCATTTGGCGCCTGAGCCCCGCTCTGGCTCAGCGTAGAGATTCTGTCGAAATGCTAACGGTATGGTATTCGAGGAAGAGGATGTCGCCGAAGGTCCTGTGGCGGACTGTTTCTGTCAATTAGCACGGGTCTCTTGTAACACCGCGAGAAGGAAAGCAGACATAGCACCAGCCGAAAAGTAACGCGATCCCCTGCTGGAGAACTCTGATTTTTCCTCGACAAGCGACTCGGGCGAAGTAATATTCCCATTCCTTTTGACGAATAAAAACTGTCTATCGGTAATGGACTTAGAGATTTGCATAAGATTTATGCCTAAGGCCACGGATGTCCACTATTAACCATTGATGCTGCCCTGGCGAATTCGTCTCTCAGGCCATTCAGTTCTATCAAGCAAGAGGACATTTATTGCCTAAGACGGTGGGAGAATGAAGCCATTCAATAATTATTAATTGCTTGTTATGTTACGTACATGGGAAAAGTGTGGTGGTAAGGAAGACGGGGATATTGGGCCCGTTCCCGCGTCACGGGACCCAGAGATTTATCATGAGTAACAATAAGCTAAGATCTATATTCAGGTGGAAGCTAACAGAATCTACAAGCATGCAGTGGGCAAAAGCTCTCTGAATAAATATTTAACTAGTTGCAGGCCCTCCTTTTACAAGAAGATTAAGAAATAGAAGATAGTAGAAGACCATATTTGAGAAGATGTTACATTTCCATGTACTCCTAAATCTAAGCAGACAACGCTAGTGACGTTCACAGCTCAGTATAAGAACTTGCCCTGATTCAAAACCAATACAAATAGTCGAATATGTTACAGCGGAGGCTGATATCTTAAAAATTGATGGCAACTTCAACAGCTTTTCTGAGTTCCATGTAACCCAGGTTCGATCAAGACTTATTCCAAATCCCTGAGAATACAATATTTCAGGATTTGCCTGGGAGGATGGCGACTTCGCAAGGTAAGTCAAAATGAGGTTATCCAGACCATGTTTTGTGACCCAGCCAACGTGGCTCTTGAGCGTCTGCAGGCAGGCGCCGCTGGCGGCGTCCCATAGTTTGACGGACTTATCGTGGGAAGCAGACGCCAGCAGCTTAGAGTCATGCGAGAAGACCACTAACTGAACCCAGCTATTATGACCTTCGAGTGTCTGCAGGCAGGTACCGTTAGTAGCGTCCTATATCTTAACAGTCTTATTATAGGAAGCAGACGCCAGCAGCTTAGAGTTATACGAGAAGACCACTGACTGAACCCAGCTAATATGGCTCTTAAGTGTCTGCAGGCAGGCACTACTAGCAGCCTTCCATAGCTTAACAGTATTATCGCGGGAAGCTGACGCCAGCAGCTTGGAGTTATGCGAAAAGACCACTAACTGAACCCAGCTATTATGACCTTCGAGTGTCTGCAGGCAGGTACTGTTAGTAGCGTTCTATATCTTAACAGTCTTATTATAGGAAGCAGACGCCAGCAGCTTAGAGTTATACGAAAAGACCACTGATTGAACCCAGCCAATATAGCTCTTGAGTATCTGCAGACAGACACTACTAGCAGCCTCCCACAGCTTAACAGTATTATCGCGGGAAGCTGACGCCAGCAGCTTGGAGTCATGCGAGAAGACTACTGACTGAATCCAGCTACTATAGCTATTAAGTGTCTGCAGGCAGGTACCACTGGTGGTATCCTACAGCTTAATAGTATTATCATGGGAAGCAGACGCCAGCAGCTTGGAGCTATATAGAAAAACTACTAACTGAATCCAGCTAATATGGCCTTTAAATGTCTGCAGGCAGGTGCTGCTGGCGGCATCCTACAGCTTAACAGTTTTATCATAGGAAGTAGACGCCAGCAGCTTGGATTTATGCGAGAAGACCACTGACTGGACCCAGCCATTATGGCCCTTAAGCGTCTGCAGGCAGGCACCGCTGGCGGCGTCCCACAGCTTAACAGTGTTATCGCGGGAAGCGGACGCCAGCAGCTTAAAGTTATGCGAGATGACCACTGACTGAACCGAGCCACTGTGGCCCTCGAGTGCCTGCAGATAGGAACCGCTGGCGGCATCCTATAGCTTGACGGTCTCGTCGCGGGAAGCAGACGCCAGCAGCTTGGAATCATGCGAGAAGTCCACTGACTGAACCCAGCCACTGTGTCCCTTGAGCGTCTGCAGGCATGCACCACTAACGGCATTCCACAGCTTAACAGTCTTGTCATGGGAAGCTGACGCCAGCAGCTTAGAGTTATGCGAGAAGACTACTGACTGAACCCAGCTACTGTGGCCTTTAAGTGTCTGCAGGCAGGTACCGCTGGCTGCATCCCACAGCTTAACTGTCTTATCGTAAGAAGCAGATGCTAGAAGCTTGGAGTTATGTGAAAAAACCACTGATTGGACTAAGCTACTGTGGTCCTTGAGTGTCTGCAGGCAGACGCCGTTAGCAGCATCCTATAGCTTAACAGTCTCGTCACGGGAAGCAGACGCCAGCAGCTTGGAGTCATGCGAGAAGACTACTGACTGGACCCAGCTACCGTGGCCCTTGAGCGTCTGCAGGCATGCACTACTAACAGTAATCCACAGTCTAATAGTCTTATCGTCGGAAGCAGACGCCAGCAGCTTAGAGTCATGCGAGAAGACCACTGACTGAATCCAGCCACTGTGGTTCTTAAGTGTCTGCAGAGAGGCGCCGCTGGCGGTATTCTATAGTTTGATAGTATTATCGCGGGAAGCAGATGCCAGTATCTTAGAGTTATGTGAGAAAACTACTGACTGAACTGAGCCACTGTGGCCCTTAAATATCTGCAAGCAGGCGCCGCTGGCGGCGTTCCATAGCTTGACGGTATTATCGTGGGAAGCAGACGCTAGCAGCTTGGAGTCATGCGAGAAGACTACTGACTGGACCCAGCCACCGTGGCCCTCGAGCGTCTGCAGGCAGGCACTCCAGCTCTCGCCTATCATTGACCTGGCGTTCATCCATCTTAGTTCCTCAGACTCAAATTGAGTCCTTGTGATACTGCTCCGAGGACTAAAGAATATCGCTGAGGTGTATACTTGAAGTGGATAATCCTCTATCATCGGCTTATGATATATGATAAAGCGGTATGCATCTCGAATCCTCTTATGTAGTACTTCATATTCCTCCTTTGTCTATATTTAAGTTAGAATAGCTGATTGCAAAATAATAAATAACACATACCTCTATTAATCTTTCAAGTTTCAGCATCGCTGTCGCTCCTTCAGCTAGATTACCTAGTAGTGTAAGAGCTTCCAACCAGTAAAGAAAGTCCTGGCAGAAAAAATCTTCAAGCAAAGTAGTGTGCACCAAGCTTTGACTTTGTTTGCGTTTTTCTTCTCTTCGAAAGAGTCGGCTTCTGAGGCTTCGTACTGAAATGGCTGTCTTGAATAGGCCTCTTAGTAGGCTAGAAGCTCCCAGATGTTGAATGAAAGTTCGGTATATGGTCATAGGTAAAGTCACGCCTTGCAGTCCTGCCATCAATCGTCCGGCTGGAATCTTCTTTCGAAGTTGTTCTTTTCCAAAGATGAGTATCAAGATCGCTTTTTCGAAGAAGCTTTTCAACCGACAGAAATTATGAAGCAAATGAAAAGGTTTACGATGAAAGAATATGCGCTCTAAACTTGTGCCCCGGAGCTGTTCACCGGTTTCTTTGCTTGGTATCTCGTCTCGAGTATAGTCTTTAAGATGATCAACCCAATAAATACATGCGTATCGTATGGATTGTAGTGGATCTGTATCTGGCTGCGTGATCTGATCAGTTGTAATTGCAGGGTCATCGAGCTCGTAAATATTGCGCCGTAATGTTTTGTGAAGTGCTTGTAAAGACCTCGAGAAGATGAAGTAGTGTATTTTTCGCACACCTTTCGGAGCAATTTCTTGGGAGGCCTCTTTGAGAAGGAAGTCCTGCGCAGATTGATGGATCAGTGCGATTGTATGTCCTCGAAGAGCAAGAAAAGAACCACAATTTCTTGCAATCCTTTCAAGATATTTGATTAGGCACTTATCATCAGACTCTATGTCGCTTGTCGAACTGTTTGGTAGTTTGAGATAACATGATAACTTATCCAATGTGATAGGACGGTAGACAGTGGCTACAATCCCAAGTAGAGACGTGCAGTGCTTAGCATCATATTTTAGCTTATTGATGTTGGCCAACATTCGCTGATATAGCATGCCAAGCCCCGGGGGAAACGTTGCAAGTTCCGCTTGGATGTACTCAGGGGGAACATCTTTCAGTTGCTCGCAAACCAAAGCTACCCAGAGAAATGTTCCTTTTGCATTGAGTACAAGATGATCCTCAATAGCTTTTCTTGTTGCTTTGCTGTATTCATGCTTTCTTGATAACGCCTCTACTTTATTCTTGATGAAGTAGTCAACACCGGCAGCCAGATTATCTTCATTCAGCTCAAGGTGAAGTCTGATTTCTGTTGTATTATCGAGATATTTTTCGATACTCGGCCAGTTTCGACTTGAGACAATCCATTTCACATGTTGATAATCTGATGATTCCTCTTCAAGAAATCTAAGAAATCTATTTTGATCAATGATACACTCGTCCAGTGCATCAATTATTAGGTAAGTCTTCTGGGTAGCCGGATCTTGGAGTATCTTGTGGAAGACATTGTGGACTTCGAACTACCTATTCTCGTTGTCAAGAAACTTCGCAGGAATATGGGTCTGGAGCAGAGGCTGTTGCTTCCTAAGCATAGTAATAAGTCCTTGTAGAATCGCTGTAGCACTGTTGATACGATTGTTGGTGGCTTGGCAGAAGAAGTAGGCAATATTAATTTTGTCTTGCGTAGCTTTCTCTGAAAGCTCATCAACAATACCACAAATTAGCATTGTCTTGCCTTTACCAGGATCACCTTTGATCTAGAGAAACTGATTGCCTGCAGTGTATCTCCATCTAATAAAATCATCATGGTCGAGCCCCCAGCGGTAAGAGTCTCGAAGAAGGCCTCCCTTCTCCTCTTCGATCCGCCGCTTATCAAGCTCGGGATTGATGGTCTTTAAAGAGTTAAAGTGTAAGTCATTCCGTATCCCAAGATGAAAAATTCGACTAAGTAAGCAGTGGTAGTAATTATCTCACTCACTTTTGAATCATCAGATTGATTGTAATAATTGTAGTAAAACTGACTATTAATCTGCCCAGGATTTTGACCGACCTGGAGTCCAATATTATCGGCAGTAAAAGATGCAGTTGAGTTGTTCATCGTTTGAGCGGAGGGTTTTAGAACAGTATGTATCACCGGACACACCAGCTGAGACTAAGATTAAGGCCTTATATACAAGTTTCTTAGCTACAACACTCAGCTACCCCGCACTACAAAAAGTAAAAATTGCGTGTGTAACCACAAGTATGATAATTACAGTTGCTCGTTACAGGTCCCAGGACTCTTTCTATATTATGTAAAAGTATTTTGAGCCGTGTGATACTCAAAGATTAGATCAATAAGGCTTAAGAATAAAACAAAAAGCAAAAGAACAGGAACACAGTATTAGGTGCAGTGGTCAATTTCCAGAGGAGATATCCACGTAGCTACGTCCAAGCGGTGGGGCATTTTCCGTGCAAATATAAGAATCACATTGGCAGAAACGGAATCTAATTGATCCAAACCTCACAATGCCTATCGTCAGGCCAAGTAGGGCGTTTGCTTAATGGACATCTCCTAGTTGACGGAAGTTGTTTAACGCACAATGGCTCTAAATTCGAAGCCCGCTCAACTGGAACTAATCCAACACATGATTCAAAGCTTTCTGACAACATCTCCGATGGCTCACATCACTGACTGCAGAAAACAGTTAATTGTGTATACTCGCTCCAACCTGCAGACATCCAGCAACGTCCAAGCACGGTGCAATGGTGTAGGTCGCCCACGCATTATTATACCTTTCATGCTCGAAGCTCTTTGCGAACATCTAAGGAGAAGCCAAATCTCTATCAAGATGAAATGGCAGTATGGATCTGGGACAAAATTGGAAAACATGTGACAATTCAGAGCATCAGCAGAGCACTTGCTTCGGTCGGGTGGTCTAGAAAAACAGCGCGACAGATTGCCAAAGAACAGACTGCTGACTTGCGAGGCTTCTTTCTTTATCATCTTACAGTATTCCAGTCAAATCAGTTGATATTTGTAGATAAATTAGGCTGTGATAAGAAAGCTGGATCCCGGCGAACAGACTGCAGTGGTCGCTTTTAGATATAATCCCGGTCCAACTTGCCAAATTCCGTCGTGATCAACTTCCAACTACTATCTGCAAATGCCCAAGATAAAATAAATCTTAGAGGTGTGTTCAAGGGTCTACTGATGCCAATGCTTTTGAGGACTTCATCGAGCAGCTCCTCCAGCATTATAACAAATAGCCAGAACCAAAATCTGTTCTTATTATAGAAAATGCATCGTTCCATCGGACTGAAAGGATATAGCGGCTATATGCCGATTGAGGTGTTATTCTGATATATCTTCTGCTTCATTCGCCAGATATCAACCTTATCGAAGAGTTCTTTGCGGAGCTGAAGCGGAGCCGAAGCAATTCCTCACGCGTTATTCCTCACGCGTTAGCGGACATCATATAAGAAAACCCCAGGACAGGGATTTAGTAGTTCTTGTGTAACTAGTACGAAAAGGAGATGAGTCAACCAGGCAAGAATTTCATTCTTGGGAAAAAAGAGAAGAAGGAAGAAGCCCGCAGGGCCTTCACTCTGAACAATGTAGATAGATTGAGGCTATTAATGCCTGAGGCATTAATGTCTGGTCACATGACAGGCCGTCAAGGCGCCTGTCCATGGTGCGGTCCTGGGTAATCAAAGACTGAAGACCGCATGATCCGGTCCGGGACTGGACCATTCCTAGGCCTAGCTCAGCCCGAAAAGGCACAGAGGACGTTGGGGGCAATCAGTTTCTTGACAAGAAATACGTATTTTCGCACCATCCGACATCTCCAACGTGAGTTATCTCCACAGCTGATTGTATTTCTAGGGCTGATGCCATGCTTACCGTCACAAAAATGACATATCCAGCAGCATCAAAAACACCACTAGAGTTTACCGAAGTTACAATTAGACCTAGCCTGTGAGATTAGCTTAGTTGTGATGAGAAGCAGAAGACTATGATATCCCAGGTGTCGCTGCTACTGCAGTTTCGGTCCATGAGATACGCTCTGTATTTTACTTCTTTTCTCTTCTTGTGGGTTGGGGGGCGGCCTTCTCTTCCGTGTCAAGCACACTCATCTGAGTTCTCCGGAGATAACTTGTATTCACCAAGCCAGATCTGATCAGTAGGGCACTTATATCTGAGCTAGTAAAGGCTTGTTCTACGTAAGTGTAATAGGTAGTTAGCTAAAGGAGGGGTGCTTTCAAGTCCCGTTGCCAGAAGCTTGGTGAAGGCGCCTCTACCGCATCGCCATGAATCCGCAGTCCCACTTTACATGCATCGAATTTCGCAACTGCTTGGTTCCTGAGTATCCTCAAATCCCAGGCTTCGTGTCTTGTTCTTGACTTCTGGCGTCGCTTCAGACTAGGCTGCCGCCCCTGGGCCAGACCATTGACCCTATATCAAGCAAACAAATTCAAAATCTGGCTGGGCCTATCCTTGAAACTACTGTACGGAGTACTGCAATGGTGGAACCCGTAGAGAACTTGTTCTATTGGATTAATCGATGGTGGGGCGCCGAGTGAATCATGGAGCCTGGAGAGGGGCCCGCGCAGTGGGGCCATATAGGCGAGGAAATTGGACAACTCAGTTCGAAACCCCGGCTTCTGATTCCAAACAGAGAAAAAACAAACCTCAAATCATATTCAGTCATAGACATAGCCTGAACGAACCGACGAATGATCTGTAATGGTCGGATGGTCAAACCTCAACCAAGACTCAGGAGTGCAAAAGCATACCCACATTTATACCATAATCAGGTTAGCCTAAGGCCGGAATATGGGGCCGGTCATATAACCTCGATGTTAGTGCAGTGATTATGACCTGAGCAAGTTGGGAGGGGCGGGGCTCGCATGGACATGTAAAATCTAAGACAGTTGAATTGTAAAGTCTAAAATAAGTGTGCGTAGCTCAAGAAACAATTTCGGGTCAACCATGAGAATTGAAGCCTCAATGCTCACATCCGTTAGCCTTTGGAACGCGAATTGGGACTCGACACGGTCTTTAGTGTTATCAGTTTGATTTGACGATATTTTCGACACACTGCACAGTAAGAAGCTCCGAGTCGATCATGGTGTTTGCAGCCTGGTGCTATCCACAAATACGGAGACTATCCACGTCAATCGAGGGCCAGAACCAGTCGAAATCGTCAGAGGAATCCAGGAAGGGCAGGGAGGTGGGTGCAGAGTGCGATCCCGACACATCTCGCGGCAAGGTAAGGGAGGAGACCAGGGGCGAGGACATGTGCTTAGGGTTTGCGGGGACAAGGTTCGCTGCGCTGGTTTTGCGTAGCTTGCGCTTGGGGCATCGCTCACTGTAGACGCACCCAAGTCCAACCTGTTGGCAACGTTGACATGGACCCCGGGCCAATCCACTCTGATTCCCTGTACACTTGATTCTCTGTGCATGGCATCGATCAAAAAATCGTTGAAATGCACGGCGAGGCAAGGTTTCGCCAGTGTGAGAGTTCTGGACTGTCGATGGAGCGACAGAGCCGGCGGAAATGCCCTTTTCTGCAGCCATCGCGATTGTGCTGTCCTAGGTTGTGAGGATCGTAGGTGTAATGAAACGCAATACTCGCTATTGAAGAATCTCTAGGCTCGGAATGGCGGATTCCTGGTTGGTTATGAAACCACGACGATCTGATTAGAGTATTTCCGAAGCCTCATCGGAGGAAATTTCCAGTCAAAGAACAAATTGGGGCTCGGCTCATGCTTAGTAGGTCTAGTGTGTGGACTGTTAGTGCTGGGCATCCTCAATGAGCACCTTATCTAGGCATGAGGATGGGGGGTCTTAGTGAGCTGATTCCGTGCTCAGGTAGAAACTTGTATGATGGTAGACGATGGCACTCGGACCCAATCCGTCGCTTTTGCTACCCGTACTATGTAAGTAAGACAGGGGAAGATAAGATGACCACCAGCGTTAATACTGAATAAGTTAGTAGTTTTGGGTAGGTTACGTATACGCACTACATCCCCATCTAGGCTACTAGGTAGTTTAGTACTATCTACACTCAACACTTGTACAGTACGTATGTCAGTACGTATGCAAGTATGTATGTATATGTTGTACTGTATAATTTATGTGGACATACTCCGGAATATGGTTTTGAAGTTGGGAGGAGATCGGCCGGATCATGGCGTGGGCCCTCGTTGGTGTTTCCTCCTAGTGCTTAGTCTTTCGGCCGCGACGCAACGAGGCAAGTTACGGAGTAGTTAGTTAATAGTTAGTTAGTTAAACAAGTGGCAACCTGGCTAATAACAGGCTTACGTCTCCGTAGCCTTGTTGTAGGTCCTTTCCCCGACCGGCCTGACCTGCTTCGTCCCTTTCCTATGCTCCTTATGCTCCTTCGTCTCTTTTAGCAGCCCCGAATTGCTTCCAAGTTGATTTGCTCCCACAACCCATTCTCCGGTTGTCCCATAGTCTTTCGTTTCCTCTCTTTCTTTCTTTCTTTCTTTCTTTCTTTCTTTCTTTCTTTTTTTTCCCTATCCCACTGACGAAACCATTGTCCTTGAATTGTACAGCTGAATCATCTCTCTTCTGTTTCTCAACGAGGACATGGATTATTGCTAGCCCTATACTTGCTTTATTCTTTCATAGCCCCACTCGTTCACTTAACAGTTCTCCCCCTTCCCACAATCGAGGATAACATCACAATGGAATCTGTGATGATGAGGCCGAATCCTGGCTGGGTGCAGCATCGAATCGCCACAGGGTTACGTGCACTTGTGGGACAGGCGTGTCGATACCCCATTCATACTCTGCTTGTCACTGCTCTGGCAGCGGCCATGACCTATCTTCATGTTTTGGAAGGGAGCTATCGGGCTACTAATGCAGGTCTGGGGTCCGAGATCGAGACAGCCCCCTTGAACATCCAGTCTTTCCTCTGGGGCAGCCGCACTCTTCGCCTCGGAGCGACCAGCTCCTGGAGATGGCAGTTCGATGACCTGCCTGAGGCGTCTGAGTTTCACCAAGTATGATAGACTTCTTCCCGCCCCATCAATCTGATAAATAATTCTGGGTGCTGATCAAACGGTGCTTATCCTGCGATCTATCAGGCGAACTCTCACTGGGCCCTTGTCACCCTTAATATACCAGATGCTTCTGTCGCGGATAGTATCTCCCTTCTGTCAGATTCGCTCGCCCAGTCTCTCGGTGCGGATCTAATTCCGCATACTTCCAACTTCTTCACTTTCTCTGATGATGCCTCGTTGGCGTTTCGAGTTCCATACTTCCAATTAAGCGGCTTTCTGGAGGCAGTCAATACCATAGCCTCCGAAAACGAGAATCATACCTGGATAATCAGATCTCCTCGTGGAGAAGGAAGTCACATGTCACTGAGATGCTGGCTCGGAAGCTCGTGGCTCGCGTTCCTTCACCGTGCCAAACATGCAGAGACCGTTGACTTGGTGATTATTGGGCTCGGTTACCTAGGGTAGTGACAATAAATACTGATACGGGGCTCTTTTGGGTCTCGTAATTGGAATGAGTACAATCTAAATCCCTTAACGAGGAACAATTGGAGGGCAAGTCTGGTGCCAGCAGCCGCGGTAATTCCAGCTCCAATAGCGTATATTAAAGTTGTTGCAGTTAAAAAGCTCGTAGTTGAACCTTGGGTTCGGCCGGCCGGTCCGCCTCACCGCGAGTACTGTCCGGCCGTTCCTTTCCTTCTGGGGAATCCCATGGCCTTCACTGGCTGTGGGGGGAACCAGGACTTTTACTGTGAAAAAATTAGAGTGTTCAAAGCAGGCCTTTG